CCGCCGCTCTGCCACACGCCCGCCGCCGACTTCCAGCCGCCCTACTTCCCCCCGCCGTACCCGCAGCCGCCGCTGCCCTACCCGCAGGGCCAGGAGCCCGCTTACCCGCACCTGGGGGACCCCTACGCGGCGCTCAGCCCGCTGCACCAGCACCAGCAGCCCGCCTGGCCCCCGCAGCGCGGCCGGCAGGAGGACGCGGGGCTGCTCTCGCAGACCCACCGCGCCCTGGGGCTCGACCCCCGCCGCGAATACCCCGCCGTGCCCCGCCTGCTCCACGGGCTGCCCGACGGCGGACACGGCCTCGCCGACGGCCCGCTGGGCCTCCACGGCCTCGGCCACCACGGCATCGAGGACATCCAGGTACCGGGGGCGCGGAGGGAGGACGATGGGGAAAGCCGCGGGGGCCGGGTACGAAACGGCGGGGACCGATCCCGCCGCCGCCTGTGCCCCCCCGGGGGATACGGGGATCCCGGCTGGGACGGGGCGGCCCCCGCGGCGCCCGTACCCCCGGGCAAGGAGGGCCGCCGGGCCGGGAGCCCCGTTACCGGAGCTCGTCCGTGCCCGAACGATTCCTCCTGCGCGGGGGGGCAGCGGGCGGACCGGACACCGACCGCTCGGGGCCCGTCCGCACCGGGAGCCGCCGGTTGACGGCTCTTCCTTCGGTTCTTTCAGGCCGTGGACGACGGCGGGATGAACCTGCTCGATCAGTCCGTGATCAAGAAAGGTAAGAGCGCGGCGGCACCGCGGGACCGGACCGGGCTCCGCGCCCCGCTCCTGCCCTCGGGGATCCCCCCCGCGTCGGGTTTCCCCCCGCGACAGGCGTCGGTCCCGCGGGAGCGCTCTCCTCCCGTCGGGAAGGGCTCGCTGCTGTCCCCGGCGAGAATGAAACGAAAGCGGCGGGTCCCGGCGGGACAGTGCGTCCCTTCGCCCACGGCCCGGTACCGGGGCCTCCGCACCTTCCCGGTACCGGGGACCGAGGGGCCCGGACGGACGGGTCGGGCTGTCGGGGAGCCCCTGGGGGCCGCCCCGCCGGCGGCCGCGGACGGTTTGCGTGGGAAGCCCCGGGGATGCCCCGGCGGGGCTCGGCGGCAGCTCCCGGTGCTCCCGGTGCTCCCGTCCCGCCGCCCCGGCCCGGAGCCCTGGGCCACGGCGGAGCGGGCCCGTTCGGCGGGGCTCGTACCGGGGGCAAGGACGCGTTTAACGGGAGCGGGGACTGTTGGATCCGGTGCCGCCCGTCCCCGCGGCGGGGAGCATCCCGCAGACCCCCGGGTGGCCGCCCCCGTCCCGCCGCCGCCGCGGCTCGGTCCCCGCCTCGGCAGCACCCCCGGGCCTGCGGGGACTCCCCGTCTGCGGCTCCAGAAACGGGGCTTTGCCCGGGGACCGGCGGGGAGACCGGCAGCTGCCTCCCGGGGCCGGAGCGGGGGAGCGGGGCTGCGGGCAGGGGTCCCGCACGGCTCCCGCACGGCCCCCGGGGGCTCCCACCGCCTCTCCGCATTGCTTGCCGGTTCTCCCCGACCCGCTGAGCAGCCCCCCCCCCGCTTCCAAACACCGCCCCGGGGGGAAAACAGCTCAATTCCGTAAAATATTTTTCTAATAAAAACTTCACCGGGGCGGCGGGGGGAGCGGGGGCGGGGAACGGGAGCGATGGATGCGGCCGCTCGGGGCGAAAACCCGTCTGAAATATCGCAGCGCCGCTCCCGGGCTTCTCCCCGCGATTTTTAACAAAAAGAGGTAGATGGAAAGGAGGGGTGCGGGGGCTGCTCGGTGCCCCGGCGGGCAAACGGAACCGCAGCCGCCCGTGCGGGTTCGGCGGGGGTTAGGGCGGGCAGGGCCGGTGCCCGGTGCCCGCAGCCCGGCGGCGTGCGGGGGAGCTGCG